AGCTTGTTCTATGAAAAATTGATCATAACATCTTTCTATTCACTATTATTCTTTCCATTTCTTAAATCTACTAAAAAATCAATATAACAATTACTTAACATTTTCTTGATTATAAATGCTGTAAAATTAATGATCCTTTGTTTTAAAAGAACTTTTGTTTCAAACTGTAAGCCATATCTCCTTTAAGTTAAGGGAAAAGATACCTATATTAACAATCTTTATTTTGAAAATATTTAAATATCGATATACTATGGATAACAAATTGATCAATTAATTAAAATCTTTTATATTTCCTTTTCACTCTAATAATTTGTTGTTACAAAACATTGTTTTTATTAAGCTGTATAGCTTGATAGTACAAAATAATTGTAAATTCCCACAGATATACCTGAATTTTACATTTTTCATTTCATATTAAGGAAACAAACTTAAAAATAAATCTTAGGATTGAGATTTGTAATAACATTTCACTCACACTAATAAGTTTTAATCTTTATAGACATTAACCCATTTATGAAAACGTCTTCCTGTTTTACCAAATTATAAAAGAAATACCATATAATGAAGAGTGAGAATTTAATTTCAAAGGTTTCATAGATAATGTACTTAATGATTACATAATGACTAATTATTATAACAGGTTTATATATTATAGCTATAAAAATCATAATAAAACTCTTGTATGAATATATAAATTATAGTTTACAGTATACTTAAGTTTACCAAGCACTTGAATCTAATCATTAGTTAAAATATAGGTGCTCTGCTTTAATCAGAAACATCTTAAGCATTGAAAATGTGCCAAAATTTCTTTTATATTCTTTGCATAGGGAACATTTCTTTCTATTTCATTGTTAAAATTGAAAGACTACTTTAATTAATTCTTTTTTATCCTAGAATTTCAACCTAATTTTAGAGAGATGTGTTGAAATTTAATTAGGATGGGATTTTGTTTGTACATAGGCCACCATATCTATGCAAACTTTAATATATGATATACATATATAAAAATATGTTGCAGTCCTGCCCTGGCCAGTGTGCTCAGTGGTTTGAACGTCAGCCTGCCCACCAAAAAGTTGGGGGTCTGATTCCCTGTCAGGACACATACCTAGGTGGAGGGTTCAGGGTGCTTAGAGGCAATTGATCAATGTTCTCCTCTCTCTCTCTCTCTCTCTCTCTCTCTCTCTCTCTCCCTTCCTCACTCTCTAAAATCAATAGAAAATAATGTTTCAGTTTATTGATTTATGATATAATACAGCAATAGTGTGTACATTCATACTTGATAGATGTATAGTTTCTTAGAGTATAACATTGTTAAAGATTACTATAGCTTCCCATTTCCTCTATTTCAGTTCTAGCAAATATATACTTTTTTTGAATATTCATTTCAAGCTTATTCTGTTGATAAAAAAAATCCTAAGTATAATATCCAATAATTTTTAAAATGACATTTTTACTTAGGTTTGATATTATATTTTGGTGTCCATATTTTAGTATTCTCATTAGGGAAAATATGATAATTTAATGTAAGATCAAGTCATATAGAGAAACAGAGATAGACAGATAGATATTGATTTGTTGTTCCACTTATTTATGCATTAATTGGTTGATTCTGTATGTGCCCTAGCTGGAGTTCGAACCTACAACTTTGGTGTATCCAAATGATACTCTAATCAACTGAGTTATCTGGCCAGGGCCTCAAGTCATATTCTTAATAATTACATGTTGTTTTGAAATTTAAAAGGCCCATAGTTTTAGATTCAAAAGCTATTCTTTAAGATAAACATTTCTTCAGTTCGTGAACTGGAATGCTGATAGACTTTATACTCATTAAATACATCTTATCAGATGTTGACTAGTTCAGAAATATAAATGATGACAATTCTGTGACATTTGTAATCTTTAATATATCACTTAAAATGAATTATGGGAAGTTTGTTCATAGGTTGGTATATGAAGTAAGGCTATATAAACTCATACTTTTCTTCTGTTTTTTCTTTAAATGACAATTATGAGTAAACTATGGGATTACATATGGTAACCAAATAATGTTTTGCACTAATCAGAAAAAGGTATCATAGAAGAATTTATTGGAGTATGAAAAAACCTATTAAAGCAGGATATAGAATCCAGAAGCCATAATTGAAACCCTAAAAATTCAAAATTTACAATTAGCATACATGCTAAAATATACCCTTGATTAAAAAGATGAGCCAAAATATTTTCAAGACATATCAAACAGAGCTAAGTTCCTTAGAATATATAGCATTTAAATACAGTGAGTTAAGGCTGACAACCTAGTAAAATGGGCAAAGAACTTTAATAGTTCTAAAAACAATGACATCAAAATTTAAACATAGGAAAAGTTGTACAACTCATAATAAAAAATGCAGATTAACTACTAGAGTAAAAATGTCAATGGTTATTTATCAGATTGCTAGATCCTATAGGTATTATACAATAATATCTATACTAGTAATTAATAAGCAATAATCTTACATTTCTATTGATAGAATTCAGATGAATAAATTGCATTTGTAACTAATAAATGCAGGTATTGAAAAAGAATAATGTAGGTTTCTGAGTACTAATATGGGAAATATTAAACATATTGTTAAATGAAAAAAGCAAACTTAAAATGACGTGAATTATACATTCTGATTTTTTACAAAAGAGACTGTACATTCACACATGTACACATAATGCTGAATCAGAAAATGAGGATAATGGTTGCATTTAGACTGGAACTAAGGGGATGGGTAAAAAAGGACTTCATTTTTTATTCTTTATGTTTACATTTTCTTCCTATGTTCATGGTTTCTATAAACATATAAAACAAGTTTAAAGAAAGAAATTTTTAATCAAATTAAGTAAAACATCTAACTGAATACTGCCTGAAATACCTCCTATATGCCACAACTTTCTTGATTTTGTTGGGGATATTAAGGTGGATAAAATATTGTCCCTACTCTTCTGAAAAATCAGTAAAGTAGAACTAATTTGTAAATAGGGTAAAAGTCAACATAGTAGATTCTCTATTAGAGATGGGCCAGAAAGGCTATATATATATATCCCTTTTAGACCTCAGTGTAGTTTTACATCCTATAAGTTAATTAATCTGCACAAAACCTCATGGAATAGAACACTGTCCAGAGAAAAACAACAGCCAAGCCCATTTTTACTAGTATATTTACTCATTGAATGCTCATGTCAGTACTAGGAAGTGAGTACCACTATCATCCCAGCTTAACAGAGGACGGAGAGAACTAAGTAACTTGCAAAAGTTGTCACTCCTTGTACTAAGTGCCATTGCTTGTGTTCAAATCCAGGTTACAGGATCCAGAGTCTAAATAGCTCAACCATTCTGTTCAAACTTTATTCTGTAGTCTGAATTTATCTCGTCTTTGCAAACAAAAGACATAAGATTCAGAGGTTAAATAATTAATTCAAGATTACACTGCTAGTAAATGTCAAAGCCAGTGCTAGAGCCACGTTCTCCTGACTAAATCCAGTGATCGCCTGGGTGTGCCAGTCCACCTCTAGTTGTAGGGGAGTCCTGAGTAGAGAACAGGGGAGGAGCCATTTGATAGCACTACCCATCATCAGTACTAATGACAAATCACAGAATGTGTGGTTTCTCTAAGAAAACAATTGCAGTGCAGAGAACTTCCTTTTTGGGAAAAGATTTCCTCTATTCAAGTAATACCAAATGATTTGTTTTGCTCAGTAACTTGGATATGATTTCTTAAGAAATTTTCAAGATTACTAGATAAATAACTGGTATTTATTTAAGACTTGCTTCTGCTCTGTGAAAAGACTCTGTCAGCATTCCAGAATGAGGGCCATGCTAACAAAATTCCAACTTTTCTGTGGGGTGATCCAAACCCAGCAAACAGAAGGCATTGCATTTCTTAACAGTCACAAGTGTGTACATGCAGGCGATGCCATTTCTGTCATTCATTGCTTTTCAGTGTGCACATTTTCAAGTTGAAACACTTTGATTTGCAGGCTAATGTGTTCCATGGAGAAATTTTTTCATATAGGAAAAAAAAAAGCAGAGTAGCTTAAGAGCATGTGAGGTCTGTGTACTCTACACCACATTTATACAGGTCTTAACTGAATGTATGTGTTTAGTCTGATTTTAGGGTATTGGCCTTGACAGTGTGCCTTCATATGTCTAAGACATTTGCTGGATTAATATCCTGAGTTGTTTCTCTTGCTCAGTTCACAAGCAGATTTACACAAGTACTCAGATGTGAAACACAGACTGTGAAGAGAGTGTGTGTGTGTGTGTGTGTGTGTGTGTAATGATTGTTAAATTAAGAAGAGGTATGGCTCAATGGATTAAACAGTATCTAATTTTTCCATTATCCTACCTCAGTCTCAGGAGCCTTAATGACATACTCAACATCCAATATCAGAATTATTTATAAATTTGCTTTAAAAGTATAAAACTTATTTCATTTATATGTGGAATATAAAACTGAAAGCAACACATGAACAAACAAGAAAAACAAACAAATGAAAACTTATAGACACAAACAATAGTATGGTGGTTCTAAGAGGGAAGAAGAATCGGGGGTACAAAAGGGTAACGGGGTCAAATGTATGGTGACGGAAGAAGGTTAGACTTCGGGTGGTAGGCACAAAATGCAATGTACAGATGATGTATCAGAGAATTATATATTTGAAACCTATGTAATCTTATTAACCAGTGTCACCCCAACACATTTAAGTTTTTTAAAAAGAGAAAGAAATGTGTGCAGAAATAAAGTGTCATTCTGGACTCTTAGAGCTTTCCTGAGCCATCTTCACTTTCATGCCAAAGCTTTATGAAAATATCATAGAGTACAGTGTGTGCTAACATTGCATTGGTGATGGATTGTATTTATGCAGCATTTCCAACCATGGTAATAGAACGGAAGTAGGCAGGAGAGAGAAGTAGGTGACAGTATATAACATGCATCTAAAATATCTTCTTGCTTCTCTTTTAATTACAGCAAATTCAGTAAAGCTAGAAATGCAGAGTGATGAAGAGTGTGACAGGAAACCCCTGAGCCGTGAAGACGAGATCAGGGGCCATGATGAGGGTAGCAGCCTAGAAGAACCCCTAATTGAGAGCAGCGAGGTGGCCGACAACAGGAAAGTCCAGGAGCTTCAAGGCGAGGGAGGAATCCGGCTTCCGAATGGTAAACTGAAATGTGACGTCTGTGGCATGGTTTGCATTGGGCCCAATGTGCTTATGGTACATAAAAGGAGTCACACTGGTAAGCAGCTGAAAGAATACCCTGATGACTGCCTGTGACATCTGATGTTGATATTACCTGACATCTATTCTCTTTCCTTTTCATTCAGGGGTGGCAATGGTGAAACTACCTTTTCAGAATTCTGCTAGTATTGGATTGCTGAAAAGCAGCAGAGAGTAGCCTGGGTCTTGACTTCCAGCCTTCAAATCTGAATAGCATATCAGAAAAGAAGTTTGGGATTCAGTTTCCACAGTTCTTAATATAGCAATAATATGATAAGGGTTCAAAAGGTAGAGGAGAATTTCATTGTGTAACTTAATCTTTTTGTATTTCTATACATTTTTGCCATACCCATGGGCAGGTAATACAGTTTGCTAGCAAAGAGTTGATACTCTAAAATGGTATTCATGCATTTATTTAGGGGTAGATCATTTTCACATTATCTAATTAATTTCTTGGAATACAATTTCCAATCAATCTTTGCATACCATGGGTCTCTATAGTAGGCAGATATTTATTTTCCCCAGTTTGAGGATTTTACCAACTTCATGTTATTTTTTTTTACCATAAATCTTACAAGGAAATATGTAGGGTGGGTATAGTAAAGGGTGGTGGGTGTGGAGGTAGGAATCTGTAATTGTGAAATAGGATGAGGAAAAAGACCTTAGATTAATTTTATACTTTTAGAGTTTTGAGTATTGTGAAACACCAGCCAAATGAAAAGGCCTTATTGAAATTTCTTCAAATCTTTTGGCAAAAAAACAACAGCAACAACAAAAAAAACCCAGAAATGTGATTGTGGCAGATAGTTGACTCTTAAGAAAAGTTTCCAATTCACATAAAAATTTATTTAAAGGTAATGCTAGCTTTAACTATAATGCAAACTAGTATTTTTTTTTAAAATATATTTTATTGATTTTTTACAGAGAGGAAGGGAGAGAGATAGAGAGTTAGAAACATCGATGAGAGAGAAACATCTATCAGCTGCCTCCTGCACATCTCCTACTGGGGAAATGCCCACAACGAAGGTACATGCCCTTGACCGGAATCAAACCTGAGACCTTTCAGTCCGCAGGCCGACGCTCTATCCACTGAGCCAAACCGATTTCGGCAGCAAACTAGTATTATTTAACAAAATACCAATAACTAATACAATCAGAACTTTAAATATCACAGTCTTCTAGAAGAGAGATAAATTATAATAAAGAAATTGATTTAAAATATTGATTTGTAAATGACTTGTAGGTGCTTAAAACATGATAGATACAAGGTACATTGAAGTTTTTAGTCTAAACCTCTCATTTACACAGGAAGAAACTGAAGCCCAAAACAGTCGTGACTTATCCATTATCCCTCATGTAGTTAAAGGCATTATGAGGCCAGAGCCAAGGTTTCGTGATGCCCAGAGTGGTTTTGTTCAAATATACAATGCCTGGTATATCAATACGCCTACACTTTTTGATGAAGTACTACTATAATATGACTGATATTTTTTAATTACAGTGAGAAGTTATTATGTTAAAATCAGTGTTAGGTTAATATCATCAACTTTATAAGGATTTAAGATTATTCCAGACATACAGGCAGTAACATTTTTACATTATGTTTTGTTTTGAATTTTCCTTCAGATATCATTATATTTTAAATATTTATATTTAAAATTTTATAGTAATATTTATATTACTAGGACACATTTTTCCCTTTAATTAGAAAAATCTCATGGAAAAATTAAAAGATCAAGCTTGGATACCATATTTGATAAGATAAAAAAGGGAAAGACCATAAAATAATGGGTCTACTTACCTTCTGTGCTCATAAAATAATTCTAACCGCAGTTCTAAAAGACGAGTTGCACAAAGTTATAATGGATTCATTATCTCAGATTGATCATGTTGAAGAACATGACACTCATTCAAATTTCTAGCAATATAGAAACAAAACAAAACCCCACATAAGGAATTTTCAGTTAAATTGCCTATAGTGTTCATTTTAAGACTGAAAAGGATACTAAAATCATTTTTTTTGTAAAGTTTTAATAAATCTTTTATGGTCTGAGCTAAAATTCGCAGAGTATGCTCTCTTGAAAATGTAGGTTAATCAGTGTTTCACTCCTGCAGTGATCTTCATGATGATTGTTGGGTTTGTTAACAGTAATAATTACATACCTATTCTGTCCATTTGATATTTACTGCTGTAGTAGAGTTGAGTTATTTTGATTCTGAAATCTTCTAATTGACATGGAAAATGTTTCTAAATAGTTATATAGATTTCCACAAGTCCTAGAAATAGGAGATTCACTCAGCTAGTAAAGGCAAGGAGAATGGACTAAATAAACCGTTTAAAGTACTCTGCAATTGTATGAACTTTCACTGCTAATGAATGTTTATCAGAGTACTGTAAAACTTCTTACACTTTCCTGAGACGGGGAAGGTTTTGTTAAAGTAATAGTCATTCATGGAGGAGCCTGGGATACCTGCCCCATTGTTGACCTTGAAATTATGATATATTTTGTAAAATAGTTACTTTTGTTTGTATTTCTGCTGACCCGGTTTATGCATCCGAGTGGGTCATGACATTTTCTATTCCATTTTAGTACTAGAATAGAATGTCTACTTGAATGTCTTTAATTTAAATTTGATTGAAAAAATGCAGTCAAAATCTAGCAATTCACCAAAGGTTTTCCCCTTGATACCAGGAACTACTATATTCATTTTAGGACGTCCACCTCTCACCAATAATTTGGCGCTAGTGTAACATGTACTGCCTTAAATCTTTATACAGCTTATGGGAAACATACATTTCTGTGTTTTAGCCTATAAAATATCTAATACAAAATTGATAGTGAAAAAAGATACAACCACCCAACTCAGTAAATGACATGGAGCACCAGATCAAATTCACTTCTTTCTCTTTCATACTCTATTAAAGTGCCAATTCCAATATCTTATTAATGGGTTGGTGTTATTTCTTTGGCATTGCTACTTTAGTAGGTAATCAGGTAATATTGTCATCGGATACACCAGGCACTCTTCATTGGGAATACAGGGAGAATAAAAAAAGTAGGGGCAATAAATAAATTCATGCATAAACATGTACTCATGTAAGCATTATAAATACAGAATATCTTTCATCTTGCCCCTCTTTGCGGGGAAGTACTCTCATCTTTGTACCTTCAAGTTTTCTGCACAATATTTTGTGCATTGCAGCTTCGGGGAGCCCTTCTCCTGCTCTAAGGCCCTGTCTCCAGGTGCTGATTTTTCATATTCATGGGTTATTGTGCCATCCCACACAAGAACACCTTCTGTCTTTGATGCACCAAAGCAAATCGATGCATGTACACTTGCAGTTTAATTGAATATTTAAACAGAGAATGTAAGCATTATAAATACAGAATATCTTTCATCTTGCTGTGTAAATGAGAGGTTTAGACTAGAAATATATTTATGAAAGTACATAATATATTGAAATATAATCTATTTATTCCATAAGAATGATAACTTCATCCAGTGAATAACTAAATATGGTCCTTGAATATTAGTAGATTAAAAACAAAAACAAAACATAATGAGAATGGACCCAGAATGGATCCAGAGTTGTTCATCTAGACTTTTGTAACCACATGCAGGATGATTAGTATCCGATAATTAAAAAGAAAATCAAGATAATTCATGAAAAACAGATCTGTATTCCTCAAAGGTTCATGTGTTTGAAATCAGTGTGCATTATTGACATTGCCTCTTCCCTCTTATCCCAAATGGGAGCATGACTACTCACTTTCATGATGCCTCTTTCTTCACCTCTCATGGCGATGGGAGCATAGCAAACACCTCCACACTAAGACTTACGCACTCAGCAATATGGCAGTATTTCCCAATATGCCTAGGTCGCTTTTTGTTTCTCCTACTCCTTTAAGGCTGGTGTGGCTCAGTTGGTTGGGCACTGTCCCGTGAACCAAAAAGTTTCTGGTTCAATTCCCAGTCAGGGTACATGCCTGGGTTGCAGACTGAATCCCTAGTAGGGGTTGTGCAGGAGGCAACCAATGGATGTTTTGCTCTCATATCAGTATTTCTCTCTCTCTCCCTCTCCCTCTCCCTCTCTCTCTAAAAATAAATTTTAAAATTTAAAAAAAAACAACAACTAAATAACCCTGCTTTAAGACCCGTGAACTCAATTAGATGAATTCAAAAATTATTTTGAAAACAGTTACCATATTATTTTTAGTTTTTCAATAAGCATGATAGTAAATGATCAATTTAGATCTCTAAAATCAGGATTTAAAAATACTTCAATTGTAGGTGGCTATAAGAAAAATTTAATTAACATGCTAATGGAGTGTTGTCCAAAGGCAAACATGATTTCTGATGTTTTTGTTCACCACCCTAATTTAATTAATTTTAAAGTTATTGCATACTGATTTGTTACTTGCTTGGGAAATTCTACAGCTTTCAAATGTAAAAATGAAATATTTGGAGTAAAAAATATGATTTAAAATAATTTGCTATTTTCCTACTGTCTGAAAAGTTAACTTCATGAAGCAAGTGCCTCCTTCTCCATTTTTATTATGATTTCCATGGTAGGGGTGGGTAATAGAAAACCCTGGTTTTAAAAAGTTGTAGAATGCCATTCCATTGAAAAAATATCAAGGAATCAAGTTAAGTTTATATGTGTGTGTGCAAGTGTGTGTAAAATAAACAAGTATTGCCAAATTAGATATAAATTGTTGACTATTTTGTAAGACTGCATATGAGAGGTTTTCGGTCAAGTATTTCTCTTTTAAACAGTATTTAGTGTTGATTTAATTTGTTAGTTTTAGCAAATGAATAAAAAAGGTAACTAAAATTAAATATAAGGCAACTTTAGCTTTTTTAACCTAATACAGCAGTATAGGACATTTTGTAAACAGAGCTCATCAGATCTCCAGAATTCTTAAGAAAAAACCTTAACCCTTGCTACACACAGCCACAGATTATACATTTTTGGTATGAATTTTATTAAATTTCAAAATGAGCAAGTACTATAGAATTCAAGATACACTTGGTCTATCAATTTCTCAGTATCTTTAGCATTTATATAAAATCTGTATGATAGAATGTTCAGTGGCAGCTGCTAGAAAGGGCCAGTTTATTTTTTATGCTTTCTAGATGATTTAAATTGAAAAAATCACAATTTGCATTATATTAAAGGCATCCCCAAATGTTGAGGTTTTATTATTATGAATGTTTCAGTTAAAGTTATGAAACATGATGATTCAGTTCAAAAATTTTTTTAACTATTAAAATTTTAATCATTATCTAACTTCAAGCACAGAAATGGCCCAGTTTATCCAAAAGGGAATTTTTTTAAATGTTATTCTAAACTTTGAGCTTTAATATGATATATTTATACTTTTATGTATTCATGTGTATGTTTTATGTATCTCTTTAGAAAATAGACAAGCTTAAAATAATGGTATTAAAATAATATTTTCTTCATGGTTTAATTAATGATGTTAGTTTGATCCACTTGCCCATTTTACTTCATCAACTTTATGTCTTTATGTTTGATGACATTGATGACAGCCAGTTGATGGCAACAGACTGAACTGATAATTACGGCTTAAACGGTCTTATAGCAGTATCAGTAATAGAATAAAAGACTCCTATCAAACAAATGATTTTCATAATAAAAAGAGAATAGATAAGAAATGTTTGAATGAATAATTTTCTTGGACTTGCTCTCATTATGTAAGGAAGTTTTGCCAAAGCTTTTACTCTTAGTGAGTAGAGTAGGAGAATTGAGAGACCTGAGCTATATTTGGAGATTTTGTGGTAATGAGCTTCGTAACCTGGTTCATTCACTGCAACTCTCTTGTCCCCCGTTAAGAAAATTATCAGCTAAAGGAGAGAGTTAGACTAAAGATGGCTTGCAATTCAAAATCGATGAGATTTTCAAAGAAAGCATGGTACAGTAGAGAGAGCAAGATATAGTCACACTGACCGAGATTCAGTTATCAGCTGGAGTACTTAGCTCTGTGACTCTCATCAGAAACTTTGATACTTGCACTTTAGTTTCTTCATTTGTAAATTTTAAAATGCCTGATTATGTCATTATGAAGACTGAAATAGTCTATGTGAAACGACCAGTAACATCAATAAAGTGATGACACCTAGTTGTTCAACCAGTTGTCAATCCCATGACTGTTATTCTTTTGAGTCAATGAGAGAAATCCTGTAAAGGTTATATGAAGGGGGACACTTGACCTAAAGTTTGAGACTTTAGGGAGGTAAGAGCTTAGAAGGCTCAGAAGGGAGATGAATATTCTCTGCATGGGGACTGGCTCTAGCTAACAGTATATGGGGAATTAGTCACTTGCACATCACCTGCCTGACCTTTCTCTTCTCTTTGCCTTCCCGCAGGTGAACGGCCCTTCCACTGCAACCAGTGTGGAGCTTCTTTTACTCAGAAGGGCAATCTTCTGAGACACATAAAGCTACACTCTGGAGAGAAGCCCTTCAAATGCCCTTTCTGCAGCTATGCCTGTAGAAGAAGGGACGCCCTCACAGGGCACCTCAGGACCCACTCTGGTAAGTGTCAGCAGCTCTTGGAGAAGAAAGCAAAAACAGACTTCAGGAGAGTGCCATAAATAATGCAGAGTAACTTACAGCTTTGGTCCATAGCTAGGAATGACCTAGACAGTACTGTTATTAGTGTGCATTGAATAACTGATAAATCTTGCCCTTCTTATAGACTTGGCTAAAAGGAGCACTGTTAACTGAAGTCTCTTATTTTAAGTCGCCAAAGTAAGAAAACAGCTCTTACATAAGTTTTCTATGATTTTTCAGTTTTATAATTATTAACACAATAATTATGGTTAATCCAGGATAATGTGAAATGTTATAGTTACATGCTGATGTTATCATAAAAGAGATGAAAGTTGTGATTTTTTTTTTCTGATTACAACACCCAGGCTGGGGGGCCTCAGTGGGAAGTCAAATATTGCTATTTTTAAACTTGAAACTATGCTCATTAGAAAATTGGCTATTGGAGTATATTTTATTTCCTGTTAGCTTCTGTTTATCTCTCAAACTATAGTCATTGGATGTTCTCTAGAACTTTTCTCTACTTCATAAATCATCATTAAAAATCTCGAAGAAATTTGATTTTTTTTAAATGCTAGAATGTAGTACAGGAAAGAAAAGGAATGCTTAGAAATCTGAATGAATCTCATTTGACTTTTAGCATGAATTGCCATAACCAAGAAGTTAAAGGTGAAAAATTAGTATAGATACTCTCAAGTAAGTTTTAGATGCTCCTTCTATCCCTAGTGACATATTAAAATTTAATTTTAATATAAAGATAAGATGGAAGTGATATTTTCATCTACTTTGACAAATTGTATTAGAGAGTGCTGTGGATTGTGAGGTAATGTTTGTATTATCTTTCTTTACATTTTTTCCTGTTAAGTCTTCAGGCTTTACCTAGTTTTTTAACATGCGTCTGAAATATGTAAAACTATTTAGATATTAACTCAAAGTTGGGCAGCTATAGAAAAATTAAATTAATGCAAACATTAAAACAACATACTTTATATATTTTAGTTTCCTCCTGACTCAAAGTAATTCACTTGTTTCCACTATGACACTTTTATTTTATTTTGAAATTATGCTACGAAAACTATATCTTAAAGTGGTATTTTTATTATAAATATTTTTTATGGAAATATTCTTAAGACTTGAGTTATTTTCTTAAGCTAGCCATATATTCAGGCTTATTAAACTGCTGTTAAGTTGACCAAGGGTTATATAAGACATAGCTTTTCGTGAACATATCTATAGCATGAAATTGAAGCAAAAATAATTTTAAACACCTGTTTTATTCTTTATAAAATTGTGTTGCTTTTAATACTGTGGTTTAGTGTACACATGTTTCTTTACCTGGCATGTGCTATATTCTCAGAAGGTTTGATGCCTGGAGACACCTCTGGAAGACATTCAATATTCATCTCAATTCCTGTTTCCTTGATTTCATGTTTGTTCTATTAACAACTCTATCCCTGTAGGTGGTGTCTCACAAGTCAAGTCATCTTGTTTTTTGTGTTAGACTGAGCTGGGCATCTGCACTTAGCTTCTTTATGCAAATTAGGCATGGTCCATCTGATGCACCTAGTTGGTGGGTGATGAAGTGAGGGGAGAGAAAGATGTCACTCCAGAAATAGGCCACTCATTAGTTTTGGCCAGGCCAGACCCTTAACATTATTTACATGGTTCTGTGTAATTGTAAAGTTTGTGTGTATAAATTGAAGCTGTTTCTGTGAAACTGTATATTTATAAATAAATATATTGCTACTTTGAGGTTCCAAAGAAACCAGAACTGTGGTTTCACTAACTACAATCATGTTGATGTTGCTATATCAAGGCATCATTTTTGCAGCTATATATATAGCATACTCAAACTGGCTAATGAAAGAGAGTTTAATGGAGTGATGTTACTGCATCATCAAGGGGTATTATCAATTCAGTCATCTTCCAACTGGACTCTAAAATATTAGTCATCACCAATGCTTTTCATAATAGAGGAAACATGAAGTGAAACTGCTAAATTCCATGCTTCTAAATGGTCAGAAGGCTCAATTTGATCATCTTAGTGTTCTTCCAGTACCAATTCTATCTTCCCCTCACCCTCTTTTTAGCACCTGGGCTGGACAGGTTTCATTATATGGTGGGTGACCCAAACCTTATTTCTAGAAGTTCACAACACTGGTGGTCCTGCCACTTTGTACAGGCCCAAGAGTAGCTAGGTAAAGAATCTGATCGACATTCACAAAATAGATTGTCTGATTGGTTTAGGTCACCCATCAGATACTCTTGTCCGGATTACTAAGAGCCTTCTGCTCAGTGGATACTTTCTAGAGAGAATTCACATAGGGCATGTCATCCCACTTTGTACCAGTTCTGAGAGGTTTATTCACACAACTCTCCCCTAGACCTTCTATCACCGATTTTCCAGTCTTGTTCTTCCAAGTCCGTGACCATACCATGTATCATTACCTCAGATTTATCTCCTTCATGCAAAGTGCACAGTCTGAAATTCTGGGGGAATATCCTGTCACTATGGTATTTCAGGGCTAGCCCCCCTTAGAGGGCCTGTGATACAGTGGTTACAACTCATACCAAATACCATGCAATCCATTCACAACTAGATTCACAGTATTATCCTCCATTTTTACTTGGCTCTAAAGACACCCCATGAAGCCATCCATGTGGCTTGAGGAGAGATTTTGAAGCAGTAGTAGCAGGTATCAGGGACACCTGAGCTATTGCTCATGAAATACACCTGGCTTCCCAAACCTGCATGGTCCCAGTTTCATTTAACAATGAAATGCTCTTATGTACCTCTGATTCAATGTTATATTGAGTCAGATAATACAGTGGGGCCTTGACTTACAAGTGTCCCAACTAACGAGTTTTTTGAGATACCAGCTGTCTCTCGGCCGATTTTTTGCATTGAGTTGACAGAGTAATTTGAGTTAACGAGCTCCTTAACAAGCTCCTTAACGAGCTCGGTCTCGGAACGAATTAAACTCATAAGTCAAGGCCCCACTGTACCTAGTTCATTTTGTGTAGTTTGGGCCACATAGTCATTTAGAGTCTGGTGGCCCAGTACTCTCAGTCTTAAACAGAGTCCAGTACTAAGATAGGAGGAGTTCTTAAAATAAGAATAGTTATTGGTACAAGATTCCATGTCTTTACTTTTAAAAAAAAAAATCTGTACTTTCATACTTCTAATGACAGAGATGTTTTAAAGCCACAGCCATTTCCAAAAAAATCATTGCATTGCTGGAGCTTAGAGCCAAAGGTATAGGGCAGCTTTCATCACAGCAGAGGTATGCTGCAGATCCTTTTCCTGCCCCAGTCCTCTCTCAACACCGACAGCCCCGTGAATTCCTGGTACATGCCTCAGAGCAGCGTATCCAATGTGGAATTTATTTTTCCAAAATCCAAGAGAGTGCCAGGTTTGTGCCTTCTTCATGATGACACATGCGAGATGCAGCAGTTTGTCATTTGCTATCGAGGATCAATTCCAACACGTCCAGACCACCCGGTCCATACCATTTCACCAAGGCGACAAGTCTCTGAGATTATCTCCTACCCTCTAGCATATGTCTCATTCAGGTATCTTAGGTATTTACTACTTCCTGCTCATCAAGTCCAATCAGTATAATACCATGAATGTAATGTTCCAGCTTGATGTTCTGTGGGATGTCAAGATGAACAAGATTTCTGTGGACTATATTATGACAAAGAGAGGAGAGTTGACCTGACCTTCAGGTAAGATAGTGAAAGTATGCTGTTCCTGCAATGTGAAGGCAAACTGCTTCTGATTATCTTTGTTGATAAGGAATTATTTTTTTAAAAAATGGTTAATACCTTCATACCTGGTGTCAGGGGCTATTTTAATATGATCCAGTGAAGATACTACACCTAGAAATGCACTTGCAGTTGGCATTCATGAGGTGATTAAGTCTGCCTCCACCCACAGAACCATCTAGGTCTCACATTCGCCTAAAAACACAGCTTCCATGGGTATGTGGTAGGGATCGCCACCCCAACCTTTCAGTTTTAGTGACTTTCTTGGGAGATGTGGTAGTTCTCGGGCTATGCTCCCCGATGTGTTAGCCACCAGCCACACATGGCTATTAAACACCTAAATATGCTGGTGCCACATGCTGAAATAGCTTTGCTTAAAGAAAATACAGGGGTTGCCAAAAGTAGGTTTACAGTTGTGAGTATGGGAAATAGTTAATAAAGCTGTTGTAATAATCAGAACCTGGGTGTCTTTTTCCATCTGAACAACTGAAAACCTACCTTTGCCCACCCCTGCACATTTAGATCAGGGTGCCCAGATCTATTTGCACATCTATTGCTGTTCTCTCCAGCCAGAGAAGACGGTTACCATCCAGCTTTTCCAGCACGCAGGTTCTTTCCTCACCCAGGTAATTATTGGGTGAAGGGAGTGTCCCAATGCCCTTCCAGGGCTATGGTAAAGGACAGGCTGAGCAGGATGAATCATAAGAGATCCTTTTCAATATTCTTACTTACTTGAGCTTTTGGACTTCTTCCAGTTTGGTCTGCCAGGAAAATTTTGGCATTTCAACATTTTTCTATGTAAGCCATCATTGAATCAAGGATCAATTAATCAGCCACTCCCACCTGCTCAAGGCAATATGCTGAATCCCAAATCCCAGATGAATGCTCATCTTTTGATTGGTTTGGCCTGATCTAGCATCCTAGTTCACCTTCTTGGTATAAAACCCTTAGAATCAATCCATGACATTCCCTTACATGCTAGCTAGACTCCTGCTGATGCAGATCAGCGGAGTTTCCTAAATCTTCCGTGTATAGGCCATCACCTTATGGGTCAGGCCTTGGTTTTTGGCTATATTAGGATCTGACTTGTGAGCCTAGGGTCAATGAGAGGTAATAGGAGTAAGTCCCTCAGTATTTGATCAGATGGTACCATCCCCTGTTCCACCCTTTCCCTATCAGTACCCCATTACCAAGACCAGTGGTATTGGTTCTGCCCA